ACCTCTGCATAGAGCAGTTGTGCTGCTAGGGGACCTGTACAAAAGTGAAAAATCCCCATGGCTGCTCTATGTCCAACCACACCATCTGGCCAGTTAAATGGTCCTCTTTGCTTGGACACCCTTTGCTAAGGTTGAGAGAGCTGGCAAAGGAGGTTGGGAGGTGTGTTGGCGTTATGTCGCCGCATGTGCTGTGCTGTGCTGTGCTGTGTGAAGCACTGGGCATTGTCGGGGAAGCGGATGGTGAGGTGTAGCGAAAAGGTAGTCCAGCTCCTGCAGTGTCAAAAGTGTCTGCAGGGACTTTTGCGTTATAGGCCTAGGCTACTTACTTTCATTGTTGTAGGTTATGTTCAAGTTCAGTGAACATGTGGGTCTGTGACATTTTTTGATACTTCTGATATGATTGATGCTTGTACATAAAGATAAAATGTCAACATTTGAGCAAACTCTATATTCTCATTTTAATCTTTAAAAGTGTAGCCTAAGCTTATTTTTTAGCATTGTACATTTGAATGTGCTATGATTAGTGTAGCTAGCCTAGGCGTACACCCATAGCCATAGCATACCTTGAAAACTCAGTGTTCACAAAGGCTACTTTAATAATCAGTCCCAAATGACTGTAGATGAACATAGTGGCAAAGACTATACCTGGTTCAGTACCTGTTCCAACAAATAACCGCCCCTGGGTTAGTCCTAGGTTCGATTCTAGGGTCAGACCTTTAGGGGTGCTCAGCCCCTAATGTGAATGTAGCATGCATACAATACCTTGCAAAATTGTTCACTAATAGGTGGAGAGATTAAGTAGGCCTATTAGAGAAGAGCTGGTGCAGAGCGGAGCAGATCAGTCAAGGGCATCACTTTGTGTTGAAAAGTGGTTGGGGACAGAAGGGCTCAGATTAAAGGCGTGATGATACATTTGGGTCACGAACCGTGATGATGCACGAGAACAAGACAAGAAGATTTTTAGCACTATTTAGATAAAATATTTGATGCTGAAATATATGTGATGAGGGTCTGGGGGTCCTCCCCCAGAAGATTTTGAGCATTTAACTAGTAGTTTCCTGCAATCTGGAGACATTTCCTGTTCCAATTTATGGTGGAAATGTCTTTTTTTATATGAGGGAGAACTATATTGCATTGCATGTTTTCTCATTGTGCAAATCAACCTTTCTCAAAGCAGTTTCATTTCTTAAGCGAATCCAGTGTTTTGGACGGCTTGATTAGCCTACATACAAAGTCACTGCAAAGATGCGAATTCCTGCGAATTCGCTCTAGGGGGTGAAGACATTTGCCAGTTCATGCAGTTTCAAATTTTTCAATGAGAAATTTGAACGAGAAATTCGCTTGACACGATGTTGCGAAAGCGAAACGGTGAGATTGTCCAAACATCATCTATTCATGTTTGCTGGGAGAAAAGAAAGTGTGGTATCCAATATTTGTGCATTTGACTCACAACAATTCAAATTAGCACTGTAGGTCAGAGGGTCAGTGACCTTTTACGGGGAGAGCAGTGATTGGTGGTTATGTAGGGACTGAACCCTTCTATAAAATTTGACCTCTAACCCCTTGTTTTGTTACCTCAGAATAGTACTGTACCCTTCTATGGGTTTGACCTTTTATTTTGCAGACTCAAACCCTGCTATGGTACCTAACAGATACCTAAACATATCCTATATAAGCTATGTTTGATGTATAGAGAGACAGAGTGGCCATCGGGCTGGGTCACTCTCCAAGCTGCTGCAGAGCTTGTAATTGATGCTGAACTCCTTGATTTAATAAACTTTTATGATCAAGAACAGTGTCAAGCGGCTTTCCTCTCAACACATCATCGCAGAATTATTGTTTGGACACCACAAAAGAGAGGAAGTTTAGCTACCTGGTGAGTTCAGAAAATATGTAACTTTATTCCAGCTTTTGTTGTACTTTACTGTGAACAAATTAGCATAGCATAGCCCCGATCGATCCGAATTCCTTTCAGAAAACAAACATTTAAAAGGTTATTGTCCTGCTGTCCTCCTGACAGACCTGACAAAGCGTGAATTCATATGTCTAACAAATTAGCATCATATTGTAGTTATTGCCCTGTTTGATCCGTGTTTTTCAATTAAATCACAGCAAAATGTTTATTTTGAGTTCATACAGCTGTAGTATTTGCGGGTTGTGTTTATTCACTTATGGCGTTGTATGTGTGATTGCTCAAAATGTCCAGCAGTCAAACTCAGGCGAGTAAAGCAAAGGGCATATTAACTTCGCTTTCAGTGTGAATACAGCTTTAGTTACCTTTTTTGGTGCAAGGTATTTTCAGAACAGTTTTAACAAATATTTTCAAAAGGTGATGGGAACAAAATCAGCAATTTCAAAAAGTGGTGGGGACGTGTCCCTAGCGTCCCCAGTGTAAATGACACCTATGCTTGCCACACAAACCTGGCTTAGTTCAACCCCGACAAAACGTTGCAAACTGATGCAAAAGGTTTTGGATTGAACTCGCCCCAGATGGAAAGTAACTCCTTCGATCTGTGCCGTTGAGCCAATCAGAATTCAGCAAAAAAGAGGATCAGTCCAAGCTGGGAGGGGCCGCTTGTATTCCCCCTCAATATTGAAAGTATAACTTTGGCCCAGACTGACACGTTAAAGGACAAAAAAATTATTTTCATATTAGTTTTTAAGTAAATTATTGTTACACTTTTTAGGGGTGCTTAGATAAAATTTTGCTTCAGCACCCCTAAAAAATTGCCCCTGGTCAATCCACAAAACAAGCTGTCTGGTAGTTTGCGTGAACAGGGTGGCCTATTATGGAGTCAAATTCCCTGCCTGAATTATTATGTCAGTCTGACCCTGCTAGTGTACGCGCAGAAACAAACAAAACCCAAAGTGGAATTTGCTAAGTATCTCAGAAAATGCCACCAACACTAAATACCAGTGTGAACGTATGATGCCTTCAAACTAAAAAGGCGCTACTGAAGGTACAAGAAAGAGGACAAGAGAAATAATTCTCAAGAAGTACATTGATAAAGTAAGAAACACGCCATACAACAGATACCACAAAGCTATTCACAGAGCATGCAAAACATGCACATACAAACATAAACACAATTGCTAGTTCCGCACCCAACTAAAATCTTTCTTGAATTATTAGAAACACATTTAACATTATCCAATGAAGGTTAAAATCAAGGGCAACTGGACTTGGTTGAAGATACTGGAAGACGTTTCGTCCCTCATCCAAAGGGCTTCGTCAGTTCTGACTGACTCAGCTATTTAACCTCAGTGGGGTCGTTGGCCCGGGTCATCGATACCGCTGGTTCGTTAGTGTTCCTTGTTGCTGTGACGACAGTCGTTACAGTCGTTAAGACTACCTGTGGCCAAGACTGAACGACCATCGTTGGTATCTTCACCTGAGGCCAATAGGTTACGTTTGTCGAGTTTCCTGGGAAGTGATGAAAGGACAGCATTGTAAGTGGGGGATAAGTGGTGGCGTAGACCCCCTCCCCTGTTCAATGACGGCTTCTCCACCCTGGTGTAGATGGCTTCCTTGACACCTCTTTCAAACCATCCATCTTCTCTGTCTAAAATGTGCACCTGGTGGTCCTCAAACGAGTGTCCTCTGTCCTTCAGATGTAAGTAGACTGCAGAGTCTTGACCTGAGGAGTTGGCCCTTCTGTGTTGAGCCATGCGTTTGTGTAGTGGTTGTTTAGTCTCCCCAATATACAGGTCTGTGCATTCCTCACTGCATTGGACCGCATACACTAGATTGCTTTTCTTGTGTTTGGGTGTGCGGTCTTTGGGGTGGACCAGCATCCGCCACCTGCTAGCTCAGTGAAGTGCAGTTTAGATTGAGGAGAAGAGACTGTGCAGGGGGTTTTATAGCCCCAGGGGAAGGTGGGACTTCTTTTCACTGTGCGCTGCTGTTTTCAGACTTGTGCTGTGTGCAGCATGAAATCAGATCACAGAATGATGAAAAAAGGCAAAAAGCCTATTCCTACCTGACTTTATTATTAAAACGACAATAGCTTGTGTTGTTATGCTCAATATTCTGTGATCTGTAACACTGGTTTTAAACCGCATTTGCTATTAGGGCAGCCTACTACCAGTAAACACAGGTTTAGCCAAATCAACCAGGACAGAAATCTTCCACAATATTAATATTGTTTAAAACAAAAAACACAGGATTGGTAACTATACTATTGGTAACTAGGGTAGCAAAACAACATAGACCATAGTAGGCTATATAATACTTAGTAATAATGATGAATACATATCCAATATGCTTGTTCCTCAAGAGTACACTTAACTGGATCGATAAATAAATAGGTATAGATAGTAAGTATGGATTTATGGATTTGGAGCTCAGACAGTCCTTTAAAGATGTTCATAAATTTTGGATCGTGTCACAATAATAAAATAGGTGCTCTGTTGTTTCTACATGTATGTTAGTCTTCTGTAATGAATTACAATGGTGTGTCACTACTGCAAGGAACTGTGGAACGGAATTATCTTCTTACCTTTCGTAAATGATTGTCAAGTTTTTACTATCCTAACGGAGATAAGAAAGGAAGCACAGTACATTGGGCGGCTGTGGCTCAGAGAGTGAGTCGCCCACTAATCTGAAGATCTGCGGTTCCATCCCCCGGCTTCTCCAGTCTGCATGTTGAAATGTCCTTAGGGAAACATACTAAACCCCAAAATATGATTTATTCCTAACCATGAAACAGCAATGTGCTCTTCTCTGTTTAAGTACGGCCTCAATGTCTCTGCCGTTTGGTCTTGTCTGTGATCCTGAAATATACTTACTAAAATTCTATTTCTGTTACTGTTATGTCAGTGTAACCATAGTATGTTCAGGAAGTGTGGTTACATTTCAATTTCCAGTACTGCTATTTATGTATTTACAAGCGATAGACATAATATTCCCTTTGTAAGTGGAGACAACCTTCACCCCCAGCTCTGAGTCAGCCTTTACTGTAACCCCCCACCCCCTTCTCTGATAGAGAGCACGAGGAAGGTTTTGCTCACTGATATCTGGTCCGGCCCACGGACTCTATGGGTGGAGTCACCTTAATATAAAGGAGCAGGTCTCTGTGTTTACTGACAGACTTGGAGGAGACACCAGCGAGCTGCTGACCTGAAACATTCACAGGAACAGGGTGGTGAGTCTGACTTTTTACTCGTTTGAAAACTTTTCATATTAAATGAAGGTTTGAGTTCAACAACAACAGAGTGACGCAGGAATGTGAGGTTGTTTAACTTTCCGGGGCCCCTAAGTAAGAGGAGCCCTGATATCTTTAGACGTTATATCGTGGCGAGCCGTCGTTCACTCATGATAAATCGCTTCTTTTGATCAAGCAGGAAAAGAGGAGCAGAGAGGAGGTATATAGTTAAACTGATGACTCTTCACTGTGGTCACAGTTAGTAACTATAACACCTCCCACTGATATCTGCATCTGGTTTCACACAAACTGTTTTCTTGAATCATCCAAATGTCCAGATGAAACATGGCTGCCTCACAAAGTGCCATTCAGTTTAGATCTCCATGAAGCAGAGCAGTAACATCCTCCACCTGCTCCATGAGGCCATCTAGTGGACTGATGCTAGAAGTGGATCAGCTGATGGCAGCTTACTGCTCTCATTCTACCTGACCAATGAGAACAAGCAGCATCTTCTCTGTCCAGCAACAAAGCACTATTGATCCATGTATTGATTAGTTTGAAGTGTAGAGTTGTTTTTGCACGTGTAGGGCGCCCGGTTAGACTTTCAAAGAGTACTAGTGCTTAACGTTGGGAAACTTTGCAGTTTGGTTATGATGCTACAGGGCTTCCCCCAGTCCGCTGAACTCTCTCTCTGAAGCATTAAAAACTGACTCCAAGGGGTCTGGACCATGAATGGGTTGGCGAGGACGTTGGTTGATTTCTGACATTGTTCTAATACATAAACAGTAAATGTCGTCTTGTTTTTCCTTTTCATCAAGAGTCAAAGCAGCAGGAGTTCCTGTTATGAGTGAGTTAGTTGTTGTATCATAAAGTCATTCAGATATTTGTCTTTTTTATCTTTCAGGAAACCACAGGTTGGACACAAAAATCACCACTTAAGTGCTGAAAAACACGTTAAAAATGGGGAACGTACCGTCAGAAAGTAACATGGGCGAAAACCTGAGATGCTGCAAGTGTGATATAGTCCTGCCTCCGTGCAAATCCTTCGATGATTTCCACAAAAGTACTGTTCATGGGCAGCTTGTGTATGTGTTCAATGGAGGAGAATACTACAGACCGGTTGGCGCTGATAATATGTACGAGTGTGCATCCTGCTTTAATAAGCCAATCAGGGATCAAGAGGAGGAGAGACCGAGAGAGGAGAAGAGAGGAGGAGAGAAATAGAGAGGAAGAGAGAGGAGGAGACCGGGTTACCAGCAGAATGTAATATGGGTGACCGCCTGAGATGCTGCAAGTGTGATAAAGTCCTGCCTCCGTGCAAATCCTTCGATGATTTCCACAAAAGTACTGTTCATGGGCAGCTTGTGTATGTGTTCAATGGAGGAGAATACTACAGACTGGTTGGCGCCGATAATATGTACGAGTGTGCATCCTGCTTTAATAAGCCAATCAGGGATCAATGAGCAGCGAGTGATCCTACCTTCAGATCCAAACGTCGGGATGATGTGAGAGCAGAAAGTCAGTCAGCAGGTGGCAGTGTTACAGAAGGTCAGTCAGTCAGCAGGTGGCAGTGTTACAGAAGGTCAGTCAGTCAGCAGCAGGTGGCAGTGTTACAGAAGGTCGGTCAGTCAGTTATAATATATAACAGAGCTGCGTGGGGAGGGGCGACACAGCAACCTGCAGTTTTTAGTTGCATAATTTTGGTCTGTTTGGTGGAAACTCATTGTCTTTATCTTGGAAAAGAATAAATGACTTTTGGCAGCAACAAACTCAGACTTATTTTTGGACTTCATTACTTTATTTATATTTTATTGAAGAATTAAAGTGTTGAAAAAGAGTTGAGATATTTCCACCACCCAAAGCTTTTTACTTTTTTAAGAAGAAGATATCTTATTAGTCCCACAATGGGAAACTCAATCTTTTCACTCTGTTGTTCATTCTCAGTATTTTACACACAGATATGAAATATATACTTGCACAAACCTATAGGAACAACACATGGAGAGATGTCAGAGCGAGGGGGCTGCCATTTGCTGTGGCGCCCCGAGTGGTTGCTCAAACTGGCACCTCCAGCTACCAGTCAACACTCCGTATCTTTTGGTCCGAGCTGGACTCGAGCCGGCGACCCTCCTGTTTCCAACCAAGTCCTTACGTACTGAGCCACTGCTTCCCCCCAACCCAACACAAACACCTTTGATATTGGCGTGAGCACCTGCAGGGAGCTGCAGAAAAGAGAAACTGCTTGAAATCCCAGAGAAATGATGTGAGTATATGAAATTATGTAATGTAGAGAAACGATTTGGGGAAATATTACAGGATGTCCCTTAGACACGGATGATTAGTTGCTGAGCTGCTGATTGGATGAAGGGAATAGCGGGGGGGCTGTCAGAAGTATTCACAAACAATTTAAAGTTACATAACACACTGAAACACATATGCACAAATAAATGATTTGCATCTGTAAATCTGTATCTCTAATTTGCAACTCGTAGCTCATCATTTGTACGTCAACTTAGCATTTTTCATTGGAAATATATTTGTGAATGTCCACAGTTTCACTGAACCGGCTGTGTCTACATAGAAATGGCTTAATCTTTGAGACAAGCACATGCTACTGGCAGGATCAACCAGGTAGGTAGGTGTCCGCCCTGACTGTTAACCGGACAAAAATTGGACAAACAAGGTGACCTATTTTCTTTTCTGTTTTCAAATCTGTTACATAAAAATATTTGGAAATTGTATCAGATCTCCTCATCCTGATCAGGTCATCCACACGGGTAGCATCATCAGAGGAAGGGCGACAGCTTGGGAGATGTTTTTTATTTGAATGAGAGAGGAGTGAAATAGTTCAGTGACCACAGTGAGTTGTGGAAAAAGAATTTAAGTGAAATGTTTGATACATTTGTTGAAAGTAGACAGTGATCGATCGGTGACAAGTGATGTGAACCGCAAATAAAAGTGATACCAGAAGATGAAACCAACGGAAAGCCAAGCTTGAGGTGAGGAACGTGAGAGACCACAGCAGCCTGGAGCGAACATGTTTAGCTGCTGTTCAAATCACACATGGACTCGGCGCGTGCAGGCACATAAAGAGGCATACCCTTCTCTTTATTTTCGGTGTGTTGCTTATGGCGTTTGGCTGCAACAAAACCACACAAATAGTCATTTCTCCCCAGATCTGCTTCCAAAATGGATCAATTGCAGTACTCATTTGACTGGAGACGTTTTGATACTCATTACTGAGCTGTTTCAGTCCATATCTTAAAGGTATCGAGTAGCGATCAGCCTTAGAGGTCAAGTTCTCTGCCATTTTACTTGTAAAACCATGTAACCTGCACCACCCAGTGGAAGAATACAAGAGAGGAAGACACTGTAGCTTTCAGCTCACTTTATGAAATATTTCAGACATGAGGTTACATGTTATTCAGGACATAATGAAAGAACACACAGAATATAAGTGTTATAGTGTAGTGTAATAATAATTGTACAGTTCATCTCTTTTAAGCGCCCTTTAATAAAGCTGTAGCACTTGTAGTTACACTGAATCCCTGAATCAATCAAACATTTGACAGCATCTGTAAGACAAAGCATGAGCTGCTGTAGACACAGAGCAGGGGCTCAGAGACAAACAGGATTTAGGAAAATGAGAACTGGATGCAACCTGGTGGATTTGAAGGTAGCAAGATCACTTTATGGTGGAAGAATTCACCAAGTCCCGCCTCTATTCTCTTCATCCAATCAGCAGCTCAGCAACTAATCATCCATGTCTGAGGCACATCTCAAGCTTTATCCTCTAATATTTCCCACAATCATTTCCCGACATGACATCATTTCCTAAAGAATTTCCTAAATTATGCATGACATTAAGAATTAAATTACCAGCATTACATTTTGGCATACAGCAAAATTAACATTAAAAGCTATGTCTGACAGGAAAAGTGTTTCCCAATAATGGATGCTAAACCATGAGGACACAGTCCTGTACATTTCTTATATGCTTATCAAATTATTAAAGCAGTCCAGCACACAGGAGAAAATATGTCTGGCTTTAAAAAATGGTGCATCAAATTGATTTGAAATTGATAATCAAAGCACATATGGATCAGTTATGCTTGATTGAGTGATGGAAACATTGACATTTGAAGTTAGCAAGAGTTAGAAGATAACAAAGTTTATACTGAAAAAAAACCCAAAGGGTCCTCATTAAAGACACATCCTAAATCTTTTCCCATTACAGACTGAGGTTTTCTAACTTTAGATTGTTTTACCTATAGTCAGGATTCAGACTTCCCTGAAGCATCCAAGAAGCTAAAATCAAACATTGTGAGTCCTCACTATAAAACAGCACAGACCTGATTTAAATTTAAAAATTATATTAGCCTGCAGTGGCTGCTCAACAACTGCATCTTTGGAAAAAGGGAACCCTAAATATATGGTAGGAAGATTATTATGACCTTTTACAGTAATTAGTACGGGTGATGTTCTTCACTGACAACGTTCTAGTGACAAATTATCATTAGTTACAGCAATAGATAGTTTAAACATGGACTTTGTCTAATTTCTATTTAAATGTATGTTTCTATCCGAACCACGTACCATTGCTCCTAGATTTCCTGGTACACCAGGACAAATGGATATTTATAGTCTGTCAAAGGCACAGTCAATGTTTTATTTCCATTATGGAGAGATCAGTGGCACAGAGGAAGCAGGTGGCCAGATATGATGTAAAGTTCTGATCAGTGATCGTGTTTGGTTGACAAACAATTTGATTTTGGTTTCAATAAAGGAAACCTCCTCTCCTCTGTCTCTCCTCCTCTCCTCTGTCTCTCCTCCTCTCCTCTGTCTCTCCTCCTCTCCTCTGTGTCTCATCTTCTCTCTTCTGTCTCCTCTTCTCTCTTCTGTCTCTCCTCTTCTCTCCTCTCCTCTGTCTCTCCTCCTCTCCTCTGTGTCTCATCTTCTCTCCTCTGTCTCTCCTCCTTTCCTCTGTGTCTCCTCCTCTCTCCCCTCCTCTCCTCTGTCTCTCCTCCTCTCTCTCCTCCTCTCCTCTGTCTCTCCTCTTCTCTCCTCTCCTCTGTCTCTCCTCCTCTCTCTCCTCCTCTCCTCTTCTCTCCTCATCTCTTCTCCTCGCACGTCATTTCTTTCTCTTGATCCCTGATTTGCTACTTAAAGCAACATTTACACTCGTACAAAAGTGATCAACTGGTCTGTAGTATTCACCTCTATTGAACACATACATGCGCCGCCCACGAACAGTATCTACATATAAATCATTGAAGGATGTGCACGGAGGCAGGACTTTATCACACTTCCAGCATCTCAGGCGGTCACCCATTTTACTTTCTACTGGAACTGTAGTCATTTTGTCTTGAGCGCTGGTTGGCTTATTAAAGCAACATTTACACTCGTGCATAAAGAGTTCATATGGTCTGTAGTATTCACCTCCGTTGAACACATAGAAGCGATCCCCATGAAGACTAGTTACATACAAATCAGCAAAGGATTTGCACGGAGGCAAGACTTTATCACACTTCCAGCATGTCAGGCTGTTGCCCATGTTACATTCTGCTGGTACTTTATTCATTTTTGTTGATTGTATTCAGCGGTTTAATGGTGATTTTCGTGTGCAACCTGTGGTTTCCTGAAACATAAAAAAAGACATATTATTATGCAATATCAGAATATCTTTATGATTTAACAACCAGCTCACAAGAGGAACGACTGCTTTGACTCTTGGTGAAAGGAACAAACAAGGAGAAAGAAAGAATTTCAGACCAGTTCAGCAAGGCCTAAAATTTTAATTCCCAAACCGAGCCCTCCTAGCCCTGTAGCGAAGACAACGCTGACACAGAAAAGCTACTTGGGGTCCAGGGACCCTGCCATGTCACTATTTCCACTGGCTGCATACAGACAGCTTTCATTAGAGCTTGTTTATAATAATTCGCAATTAACTGAGCTAGCGCCCTCTGCTTGTTTTAAACACTGCGGCGGTGGATGAGAGATGTTTACATGTCCATGTTTAACATTTATTGATGTCGTCAAGTAATCTTGGAGTTAT